AGAATAGATTTGTAATCAATTTTGACGATTTATCTTGGAGTTGACCTTGAACTTCATCTTCAAGGTCATCCTGACCTTGGAATTTAATTGTGTTTCATTTTCGTCACCAGAAATCGGGTCTTCTATTTGGAAAAATAAAGCCGACCGTAAATTAACCTTGAAGTTGCAGGTCAAGGTCAAATTCAACGTTACCGTTGAATTCCTTTCCCAAAAATACCTTACTCGAGAAAATACAGATCCGTTCCTTGGCCTTTTGTGACACTCTGAGAGATACTGAAACGTATCTTGTGGCGAAACATTTTTTAATCATCGTTTTATTTGAGATCTATTTTAAAGTCTCAAATATACCCTGAACTCTGATATCTTATTATACAGGGTGACTTTGAAGTTGAGTCATTAATTTTCAGATAATGATTGTAGAAGGAAGATAAACCAAAATGTGTGTAAAAATAAAAGAAAAATAAAAAAAAATGTTTACCTTGTTTTATAAAGTATCCTCCCGACAAGTATTTCAGTGCGAACCTGTATTTGATCGTGAGGTCTTGGAGCACCGGCATGCCGTCCCCTGTGAGGTCTTAAGTCACCTGATTCACGAGCCCGTTGTACTACATTAACAAAGGCACGAGGGGTTGGTTGCATTCGATTAGGAAACCGATCCGCATAAACATGTGCCATTTTTTATTTCGTTTGAGCCACGCAACATACACCACTATTCACTCACGCGTTACCGACTGACACTGACTGTATACAACTGAATAAAATAATTGTAAAAACATCGTTCCAAATTCTTTCGCTTTTTTGTTTCCGATGCGATGAACCGATAAGGCGGATTATATCCGTTGTTGCCAAACACGAGCACATAATATTATTATTGAGACAGGGCGGTACTCAAACTTCCAAAGGGCTATAACTTTGCTACTTTAATTTTACCAGAAAAATGGTAAAGGAAAAAAACATTTCTTTTGATCAGATCTACTCACTGTTAAAATAAATGACTCAACTTCGAAGTCACCCTGTATAGAGTGGATATAACGTGGATTCGAGACCGTTGCTCAGCTTTCGTTCGTTGTCCTACCTGAGACGAAGCCTAGAGCATGCTGATGAGGTGCCACTAGCACAAACCAGCTGTCTATTATTGCGTGTCTGTAGTCAGACGAACGAAAGCCATATTACTAGTTGAGAATCATAATTCAGAATTGACTTCTATATATGCACCACCCTTCATATGAGCTGAAACCAAATCGACCACATCTGTTGTACCCCATCATTCGTTTGAAAATCGCGTTACGGCCACAACTGTTGCCTATCGTCTCGCGTGTCACCCCAGGCCTGAATTTAAAAAAGCGTCTAAGTATTATGCATTGTCCATCGTAAACTATGCAAATTCCCTATAATTCGACACTACAACGACATACAGGGTGTCCCACCATACATTTGATAACGACTCACGAAAAACAACGTGACAAGTTGCTATAAAAAGTACCCTGTGGAACTACCCTACAAAGGTAGATAGATACTGTATTGCCTTGTAGATCATTTGACATGATATAAGACTCGTCATCATCTACGAAAAAGTCGAATCTGCGTACTAGCAGATGTGGAAAAAATGTACGTATAAAACTTAGTCAACCTGATTTTTGAGTCAGACGGGTGTTTGTCTGGCAAGCAGATCGCGTGGCAGCATCATGGAATGTGACCTCTGAGGAGCAAAGCTCGTTGACATAGCGGTAGAGTTCAAACAGAGATTTATAATAAAAATATCACAATTTTTTGTGTTTTTATATCCCGATTTGTAAATCCGTATGCGATATTTATAAAATATACTAAGTGGCATATAAATCCGAACACCCAGTTTAAATGGTTTTATTTTAATAAAAGTTGGTGAATGTATTTATCTTACTGTAAATAACAAGTGAAAAAATTTTCAGCCTTATCAGTTGGACATTCCGGTTTTTATACTGTTTTTTTTTAATTCACTAACGCTCTAAAAATGAATATTCCAGCCGCAGTAAAGAATCAACGTTGGCGGATTTTGGTTCTTGGCCTTCTTTTAGGATCGGTTACGATGCCTAGAGTACGGAGACCTGTACGATTTCGTCTACTTAGTGAGTTTGATAGGGGCCGTATAGTGGAACTTCGGGAAGCTGGACTTTCTTTTCGGGCAATTGCAGTTAGAGTGCAAAGAAGTGTAGACACTGTGGTTAGCTGTTGTCAGGCATGGCTTCGAGAAGGACGCCGCCGTAGAACAACAGACCGTGAAGATCGCCGCCTAAGATTATTGGCCTTAAGGGACCGTTTCTCCACTACCAGGTCCATTGCAAATGAATGGTTTGCAGAACACGGAAGACCTATTGGCATGCGAAGTGTTTACCGACGAATGAGAAGTTTTGGCTTGTTTTCATACCGGCCACACTGGGTCCTCCCTTTAACTCGAGAACACCGACGTAATCGCCTTGAGTGGTGCAGACAACGGTTACTCTGGGATCAGGAATGGAACAGTATTGTCTTTAGTGACGAGTCTCGATTTTGTTTAGGCATGCACGATGGTCATGCCAGGGTTAGAAGGCGACGTGGTGGAAGGAGGAATCCACAGTTTTTTGTTGAAAGACATGTTCATCACACTGTTGGAGTTATGGTTTGGGGTGCTATAGCTTATGGTTCCAGGTCACCTTTAATCTTCATCAGAGGTAACATGAACGCGTAGCGTTATATCCACGAAGTTCTAGAACCTTTTACCTCTTTTACCCTATCTTGACACTGGTAGATCCAACTTTCCAACAAGATAATGCCCGACCACATGTTGCAAGAGTCATAATAGACTTCTTTCAACATAATGATGTCACATTGTTACCATGGCCACCAAGATCTCCCGACTTATCCCCAATTGAGCACGTGTGGGATATGATGGGTAGGAGATTGCTCAATTTGCAACGTCCTCCTCAGACTCTAGAAGCACTTCGAGAGGAGTTGGTGGTTGCCTGGAATGAGATACCACAGGAGGACATTGACCACCTGATCAGAAGCATGCCTAGGCGCGTTGGAGAATGCGTAGCACATCAGGGTGAATCCACACATTATTAAAGGTCAAAGGGCTTTATAGCAGTGCAATCATTTTGAAATTTTTATCATTTACTTATTATGCTTCAGTAAGTACTTATACAAAATTTTATTAAAATAAAACCGTTTAAACTGGGTGTTCGGATTTATATGTCACTTAGTATATTTATTTTGTAGCATCTTTTCATAATATTTTTATTGTTCTAAATGAATCCGGGTGACGAATATTCTTTGTCACCATGTAGCTTATGCGTTGATTTGCTGTGTAGGATAATGCTAAAGACTGCATATCCACACTCGCGTGTAGGTTTTGTTAAATTTTGATTGGTAATTTCAGGACCGTCCGTGATTAATACCGAAAATTGCCTCCCACGCTTTGAATGAGCAACCGACGAACAAAGCCACAACTGCATGCAATTGTTACAATCACTCTTTTGACATAGCACAGGTATAAGAGTGGAAATATACCAACTACGAAAATAAATTTTTTTGGTTATCGGACTTCGCATTATACTATCCGAAGGTTCCTTAACAATTACAATTTCTGAAATTAGATAATAGAATGACCGAGAGAAAAATGCATGTATTCACACATGTAAACAGCTGGGAGAATTTGATGTCATTCCACATGGAAGATAACTACGATCACTTCCTCTCAGTGAATCTGCATGTATTTGAGCATTCGGTATAACCCTGAGCGCTAAAAACCAGTATAATAAAGTTGACAGTGTAGTCGGAGTAGCAGCATCCTAAGCATGTGAGCGGTATTCAAGGCTGGGTCCTCTCCGGGATCTGCGCAGAGTGAGGAAGGTAGCCTGAACATCTCGTCTTATGATTATTTCCAGGTTTTTCGCAATTAAAATACCAGTCTGGATACGAAGGCTACGTTAAATTTACATATGATGCAAAAAAAACAAATGCAATGTGTCAGATATTCCTGACACCACTATGAAAATGTAGTATAACCCCTGATAAAATATACGCCACACGTCTAGCCTGCGCAGAGATATGTTTATACCGAAAAGAAGCTTACATTCTTGCCGCCAACGCCAGTCGTTTGACTGGTGTTGTCTGGCGGTTGCAGCATGAAGATAGGAATTCGAGCGTTCAATTGGTGTGATTTGAACTTATCATTGTTTTAGTTTGGCTGATATTATTACTGACATCAGAAGCTTCTTAACAATGAAACGACAATCTATTAGAAATCGCATCCTCCAATACATCTTGTAATCTACAAATTTGATCCCTTAGTTCTGAAACACCCTGTTTAATACTAGAATTATCATGTAAAATCGATAACACAGAAAAATCAGGCAAATACTCCAAATGTTGGAAAAAAATGCGTGTCATCCCGACGAGTGGAACATTTGTCACCCAGTGACGTCATGCGAAATTCGATCGCGAAGTTAGCATATCTTCTCGGGTATTTTATCATGTTGTCTTATTGAGCTGGAGTGAACAACAAAAGCCTGGCGCGTTCGTTTAGCAAATCTAGATAATTTATTGCCCAATGACACCGCTAAAATGTGTCTGGCTGATACGAGATCGGTTTATTTCGCGAAGCGAACTAAAAGTCCCTTCCATGCGGTAGAAGCGGACAAAGTTTCGTTCGCTCGTCCGCCATGGCTCCGGTCTCTATTTATTACCGAATATGCGGGACTAATTGGGGAAAAGGTCCGCCTAGCCGCATCGAGCACGACCAGTTCCAAACACGGATGCACAAAGAGCCCAGTCAGCCAAAAAGCCCACCGATACACCGTACGCTACTCTGGCCGATACTCGTCGGAATCTGGCAGCTGCAGTTTAGTTCTCTTACAACGAATATAACTGTGTATTAGAGATAAATGCTGACAGTTAGATAGATAGACTCAGTGCTTGTATTTATACAAACATCAAGAACAAAGATGCTTAATATAGAGGAAAGGAACCAAATTTGAGATACCTTTTTTGTTTTAAACGAGCGTATATTTTTAAATCAAATTGCGATTTGATGCTCCTAGCATACTCTAAAACAAAAATAATATTAAATGTATTTCTTTACAGACAAAAAGTATATTTTGAAAAAAAGTAAATATTTTTGTGAATTGTTCCGTAATTTGAGATTTTATTCAAAAAATCCCTTTCTTTTGCAGAAAGTGCAAATGAGAATTTTATTGGTAATCTCTTCACAATCTTTACATGCCCATCCACTACAATGACTGTATTTTGTCTATATTCACACTTCTTCTGTTCGGAAAATCGACCCGTACAAAATAAACATTCAGCATAGCTTTCATTTGCTTTCGTCTGAAGATGAATCATCCAACTTCAGGCTTCCGCTGCATTCTGAACTCGAAGTGGAGGGGGAAGGTATCTATCCGAATCCTTTTGAGGCTTTTAAATAATCCATCTCCTTACTCTTGTGTTTCGAGGCATCTGCATCTTGATACAGGGCCCTAATTCGAGATAGTGTCAAATTAGAAAAGCTTGGGTATCTCAAATTAGGAATTTTCCGTTAAAAAGTTTACACAAGCATATTTAGGTTATATACCTAATAAAATCACAATATTGTGAAAGAAAATAGATAAGGTATTTGTAAACTACTAAATTTATATCAGACAATTGTTCTGAATAACATAAAGGGTTGTCCAATAGGGATGCAGGAAAGTAAACGTCAATTTGACATAGACGCCATCTTTGTTTTCTGTCACCGACATGTCATTTTGTTAGTTGAATGTTTACCATTGATGGCTATGGAGTCGTATTCGATTGAAGACCGCATTAAAGTTATTCAAATGGTGCAAAAATAAAAAACACGTTTCGCGCGCTTCGTGAACATTTCGGTCGCAACAACCACCCAAACGAAACAACCATCGGTCGTCTGGTGCGTAAATTTGAGGCTACAGATTCTGTGGCAAATCTGCCAGCCTCTGGCCGGCCAAGGAGCGTTCGCACACCGGAAAATATTGCTGTTGTGAAGGAGAGTGTGAGAGACGATCCGAAACAATGAACAACACGTCGATCCCAAGAATTGGGCATTTCGAGAACCAGTCTGTTCCGCATTCTCCACAAGGATTTGAATGTACACGCCTACAAGATCCAATTGACGCAAGAGCTGCGTCGGGCCGACCATTTTTCGCGCCGAACGTTGTTAGATTGGCTCCTTGAACACCGTCAAATTGATGCCAATTTTTCATCAAAAATCATGTTCAGCGACGAAGCGCATTTCACTTTGAATGGGACGGTAAACAAGCAAAACTGCCGCATCTGGGCGAACGAAAATCCCCGTGAGTATCAAGAGCAGCCGATGCACCCTCAAAAAGTGACTGTGTGGTGTGCATTGTGGTCAAAAGGCATCATCGGACCTTACTTTTTCGAAAACGCGGCCGGGGACGCCGTTATCGTCAATTCTGAGCGATATCACGTGATGATAGAGGACTATTTTTTGCCGCAACTTGAAGGAATGGATATGGACGATGTTTATTTCCAACAAGACGGTGCAACATGCCACACAACCAACGTCAATATCCATCGATTGCAGTCCTTTTTCGGTGATCGCGTGATTTCGCGCAGAGGAAATGTGCCATGGCCACCAAGATCATGCGATTTGACTCCCTTGGACTTCTTTTTATGGGGATATTTGGAAAGCAAAGTCTACGTCAACAAACCAGCCACCCTCCAAGAACTCAAATGCTGTATCACTTTCTTATAACATCCTGCCTATGCAAGTAAAAGAACTTGCCACTTTCTGTGACTCCTATGTAGGGCAGAATAAAAACTTTACAGTTATCCGGTTTTAGCATTACTTGGTTACCAAGAAAAATCGTTTTACTACTGTGAAAGAAATATTCCCGATCAGTGGGCAGTCATACCTCGAGTGTGATAGAGATATGAGTCTCGTGAACCAAAGATCATACACTGAGGTACCGGATGACTGGAGAGATGAATTGAAAAATTGCCGTGTGAAACCTACGCCATTTGAAGTCATTGATTGTGGCAAAAGTTTTGATTTCAACATTTAAGTACGTTTTTATCGCCAATATATCCAACGAAGTGCCCGTTTCCAACCCGACCAGTCAGGATGCTCTAGTTTTGCAAACAGAGTCCTCGCGTTGTTTTTCACAAATCGACATACATGCTAGTTCTAAATTTGATTAGGTAATTTGGATGAATCTGAAAAAAGTCGCAAAAAGATCAACAAAAACGAGAAGAGGAAACCTTGAGAAAACTTGCATGGCCCAATCCCAATTAAAAGTAAGAAATGGAAGGATCTGCAGGACCTGAACAAATTTCTAGAGAGAGCAGATTACAGGGCATTTTATCAACAGTTAATATCTCTTGATCAACCAGAAGACCGGAGTGATGAATATGTCGATGACCCGCCAATAGACGCTTAAAGCAGGGGAACGAGTCCAGAGTTGAACATCATCTTTTGTTTGTTACGTTACTAGTTTTGAGTAAAAGTTCATTTTGTATAATCTATTTTACCAATAAATACACTGTTTAGCAAAAATATTCTTTACGACTTAGTTTTTCATCAATTTTACGTTCCGACAAGTAAGTAAACCTTAATTACCGATTTTCTCAAAATCAGCTCGGATGGACTATTGTCGTTATTCCCTGGTACCCTTCCAGATTGATATTACACAAATTAAATAAGTATTATATTGAAAATAACAGTGTCTCATTGTTGCACTACAAAATTCTGCTTGATGAATTCTTAAACTTACTAAAGCTTTCTCCTTTACCAATGCGATTTTTAAAGCTTTTAAGACGATAATCCTATTATTTCATACCACATCTGATACAGAAATCATCCATTGCGACCGCTACAACAGCAAAGTTACCTCAAACCACGGCAGGCGCGCCGTCGGCAATCATCATCCGACCCGAAGGACCAAAATTCGAGGAAACAGCGAATTCCAGTCCCGAACTGTCCCGACCGCGTCCGATCGCGCTCGAAGCTCGCCGCCATTTACACCGAAAGCCCGTTACCGAAGCACACGCTTCAGTCAGACGTCGACCGCCGAGGGGGTTGTTTCGTCGACCACCCTCGCTTTACCGCGTTACTTTCGTAAACAATGCAACTCTTTCGTGGAACTACTATTAAGCTGATCTAGCGTGCTACAATTAAACGTTTCTTTGTACGGCTTGACGCGTTTGTGCACCCGGTTTGTGTTAGTGAACAAAGATACGAAAAGTGACAGCGTCCGAAATGGAGATGTGTCAAATTATGTTCTACCTGTTCTGTTTGGCAGTGGCGGTTATAGAACCGGTTGTGGGAGACTTTGAGAACAGCTGGACGATGTATATGGAGCAACCTTGCTGTTCGGGCAGTGGACCGCATCATGTCAGACATCATAGAGGTAGGTCTGTTTCCAACGCCAACCGCCTGCATGTTGAGCTTTGTTTACAAGTAGTGTGCTGTGCTTAGTGATTCACAGTCGTATAGACATTGTTCAGATTGTGTCTTTTTAAATTTTTGTAAACGTCTAATAATGATACGATTATTAAACCGAACTGAGTGGGAGTTTTTGATCTTTCATGTCGGATAGTGGCATTACCCTATATTGATTATAAGCACTTTTATGCACATCACAGATGATATGAATTCATCAAAATAGTTGAGCTAAGTCGTAACACGTTGAGTTTATATAGTTTACATGTTTCATCAGGGGTTAAACGTCTTGATTTAGTTTTGCTCCGTATTGCCTGTGAAAATGTGTAAGAATAACACGAAATATCACTAAAGTACAGGAACAGTATAGTTTTTGGAAATGCAAGTTTTTCAGAGCTCATAACATCGCGGATAATCCAAAGTTATCAAAGTACATGATTGGCTAAAGTGAGGAGCTTTGTTGTTTGTTCAGTGCTAGGACCAATCAATTTGAATAGATTAGAAGTGAAGCGTATATGTTTACAATGCTTTATTCGTCGCAAAAATCGCGTAGTTTTAGTTTAGCTTTAAAAAATAACACAAAAATAAGAACTTAATGTTAGAACTGTCGAAAGATCAACGTCTAGTCAAGTCCACTGTAAAATGCACTTTCATCCCGACTGAAAAGAGTCCTAGACTTGCTTTTTGCAGTATGAATTCTTTACTCAGATAACCTGCTTAGTTACCCACACATACCACAGGCTTATAGACGTTATGACGATGATGATGGTCGCTTATAATTTGTGCTAAAGACACGATTATTATTAAACCAGACCAAACTGTAATGGGACTTTCCATTTTTAATTAAGCGTAGCTTTATCGGAAACCAAAATTCCTAGCTAATGAATTGCACAAAAGTAACACAAAGAAGCGTATGTTATAACTTTTATCAAATTTTATACTTGAACAATTGATGTCCTTCTTACAAAATAAGTTTCCACTTACTCGAAATTCGTCTACCTTCATGACACATTGAACGTTCTTCAAAATGCACAAGGTTGATCAATTGACATAAATTGCCAACTGAAAAATAAAGTATTTCACTCAGGTCATCGGTAGCACGTTTAAAACTAATTTGCAACATCTATCTAGTTTAAAAAGTTGTTCTTCACCCTTATTAGCTCATTCTGAACCTCTTTGCTCAATAGAAGAAAACATTGTATTGGAACCACAAAAATTAACCGCTAGACACACAAAGAAAGCCGTTCTTTTACCTTGCACTTTTATGACATGTTTGCCATAACAAGTACCAAAAGTACAAAGCATGAAAAACTTTCTGAAATACACTTGATATACACATTATCAAATTTGGTAGAAATGCATGAAAAAAGTTGGGTAAAACATTTCGATCGTCTACGCTTTGCATTCCTTTCGAGAAGCTTTCTAGTACCAGTGACTGCAGGCTCGAAATGCTGAATACATGGTTACATAAAGTGGAAATCCTGTAAGTTAGATGTCAGGTTCATATTTAAATGCATATCGATAGTATAATCAAAACATTAAAATACCAGCACCTTACTTTATTTGTTCCTTGCAATGTCGTTAAACCCGATGTAGGTAACACAAACAACCGGTTTTTGAGGATACTGAAGCTCCAGCTCACCTTAAGAGGCCAACACTTCTTTACCGCAAAGAAAATATGAATATATACTGGCCACTCTTTCTCCACTGCAAGACGACATAATCAGAATTTCAATATGACGTTTGTCTTCAATCGTCAATTTTATTTTTTCTTATGAACACGATCTGCAGTAATAGTCGATATATGAAAGAAATAATTTAGAAAAATTGATCTCAAAAATGCTTCTTTACCAACTTTGACTGTCTTTACATCTATTAACTATTCTAAAACACATTTTTTACCATTTGGATCTTATGCTAAACATCTGCCAAATTACACAAATTTCTCCTTCAACATTAATAATCAAAAAATGCAAATTAATAGAGTGCCCAACATAAAATACCTTGGAGTGGTCTTGGATCCTCACTTACGATGGGACATCCATGTCAATTATATTTTAAAGAAAGTTAGATTTGTATCCTACAAAATTAAATACCTTGGGAATATATTGACAGAAAAATATCTTCGAACATTATACCATGCACTGATTGAGCCTCATCTCACATATGGTATATTAGCATGGGGAGCTGCATGTTCCTCACTCTATAATTTAGATGTTTTTCAAAAAAGTATTCTAAAAATGATATTTAAAAAACCGAAACTTTTTCCCACTGAAAAATTATACGCAGATGTTCGAATGTATGATATAAGACAGCTTTATTTCTTACACAGTATCACTCACTACCATAAATTTGTAAACACCGACCAAAAAATTAAACATAATCATTATACAAGGTACAAAATTCGTGGCACAATAGTTCCTCAACCGCATAAATCTATAATGCAGTAATAATATCTCTATTTAGCGCCTAAATTTTATGAAATTATACCTAAAGACTTAAAAGATTTACGTTTCGGAAATTGTTTCAAAAGAAATTTAAAAAAATGGCATACATTCTATATCTAGGTCTGAAATTCATAAACTCATAAATACGAACATCAACTAAATACATAATCTACTGTAGCTAATTTTTGTCCTTTTTTGTCATTTGCATTCTACAGTTTCAACTTAAATTATTGGTCCATGTACAGGCGATGTCTTCTATTGGGCCTGCTTTGATTTTATATTTATTTACTCATATTGTTTGTTATCTTTGTACATTGAGTGAATAAATATTATTATTATTATTTTATAGAGTACTTCTAATTACCAGTTCTTGGAAAAATAGAGCTTGCAAGTTGCTAGTATCAATAATATGCGTTTTTAAAATAGCAATAAAGACAGAAGTTTTCACGTTATTGTAGCAGCATTGTTGACAAAAAACTGGAATTGTTTTATTTTACTAAATGATTTCACTTGTCACTAGCATCGCACGCCAGTTATGCTAACAAAAACATGAAATTGGAAATGTCAATTTGTTTCAATATTGACCCTTTTTGCAAGCAAATTGAGTGGTAAATTAATTCGATTTGAATTTGTGTAAAATAATAACAAACTGCGTTGATGTGACATTTCACCTAAACCGAATATTTTGTTTTTTGTTTTCGCTTTTTATGTGGCACGACAAATACTGCAACACGGGATATTTACGCAAAAAGCTGTTGCGCGAGTGGAATTAAAAATCATTAATTTTATTGCGACAAACATTGTAATTTAATTTGAACTTATCATTTCAAGACTTTCGAAACTTTTTGACATTTGATGTGTGGCGCACAATGGCATCGTGAAGGCCTCTTGATAATCAGTATCATTTTTCACAAATTTAAAGAAGACAGTAATATTATATTTCTACTTAAAAACTTGATGTCTGGAAGAGTGAGTCTGGAGCTAAATAGATCTTTGATTCATTTTGCAACATTTACATTTTTTTCTGCTCTTAATTGTGCTGCATACGTCAATTCCTGGGCGCTTATCCTGTTCGTACTTCGAAAGTTTTTAGTCTTTCAGTTATTTCAGAACTATCAGGGAAACTAGATTTTAGTAGGCCGTTAGTATTTTTCAGGGGTTGATTTTCTTTGTGACTTTTATTTTGCATTTTAACCAATCTTTCTATCTGATTAAAAAGGAACCTGCCTCCAGCTACTTATTTTTAAATATTGATATAAATGTTGCAAAATTTCTATTTTCGGTATCACCTAGACTTTCTTGACCTGTTTCTCAAAATTTCGGCTTGAACCAAAAGTTTAACGATCTGTCACAGCAAAGGTAGTGTAAACAAGGTTTTGTTTCATTGCCAAATAATTATTTATTCCCAGAATCAACTTCCAAACACATGATGAAGCATGAAGTAGTGGCAACTTCATCAAAAAAATTATTACAAGCGAAAACAAGCCCTTTATCCGACATGAACTCCTGCAGACTTTGTACTAACGCCGCTTTGGCTGTTTAAAACGGCGGAAAATTCGCTTCCAAACAATCCCATCCGCAGCGAATGACTTCAAACAAAAACTTTTCGCGAAAAAAATCCTTTTTATTTTCACCACGTTTTCAGTCATTTCGTCGGCCGTCGTGCGTCTACACGTAACTTTACACAAAACATGAAAACGTCTGGTTCAACTCGACCGCCCGTCAAGAGAGAAAAATCGGAAACGGACCACAATTTTCGGGAGTAATTTTCCCTTTGCTATTGAAAACAAAAACTAGGGAGGAAGGAAAACAAAACAATCTGTATGCTTTTCCAAAAGTACTATTCACGTATAGTGGTCGAATTCAGCATATATCAACATTCCTTCCTACGTCGCGAAGCTACTCTGCCGATACGTCAAATCAGGAAGTCATCAGACCGAAAAAGAAGTCGTATAAACAACGATAAAGCATCGTGAGGCAAGGCAAACATCAGGTTCGATAGCCGTATAACTTCCACGAATAGCTTTACAGCAAGCAGCAGCGTTTCCCCGAGCTTATTTTAACTCAATCTTCAACGTTTCTATTTATATACACATGTGAGTATACAGAGAATACACAGTTGCAACGACGCGAGCTTGAAGGAAGGCTTCATAGTCTAGGACGCAAAAGAACATTGCTTAAGAAGACTTATTTACCGATGACAAAATTATATCGCAATATTAACTATATGGCATTCGTAGCTCATTCACAGCATGCCCAAAAGCG